TCCTATAGGTCTGATGACCGACGCTCCTATAGGTCTGATGACCGACGCTCCAGTAGGTTGTATAACTGACGCTCGATAGGTCAGGTAACTGACACCACACAGGAAGTGTCTGCTGCAGACCTTCACCGTTCTCAGAGAACAAACATCTGGATGGGTCCAATGGGACATCAGGATGGAGAGTCCTCGGCATCTTTGAGTGTGTCTGGAGGTGACGTCAAGTCTTTATTGCCACTTTGATTCTCGTCTCCTTCGTCTCCTGCTGGTTCATTAAGACTCCGTCACCTCGTGACCTTCTGACTGTTTCAGACTTAATGTGAACGGACGGAGCTGCACGTCTTTGAAGTTCACTCAGTGAGGAGCAGAGTTCAGACTCAGGGACACGTGGTGTGAAACTGCAGCTTCATGTTCTTCAGACAGACTAAAAGATGCAGGATGATTGTATTCTAGATGTGTCACAGAAGGTGTCATGAAGACCAGAGCTCAGATATGTGGACACGAACATGTCACATGTTAAGCATTTACCACCCTGAAACTGTGGGTGGCGCCACTTTAATCTCAGTAACAAACACAGTCAGTTAGTTTTATTCTGCTGTAGCTCAACTTGGTTTCAGAAATCCTCAGGACTTGTGTGGACGCTGCCTCTACTGTTGATCAATAAAACCACTTCACTCAGACAGCTTCGACTTTGACGTGACATCTGATCTCCTTCAGCACCCAACGCTGTGTTTGTTAGCGCCGGGTTCCTTCAGCGCTGCCAAACGCTGATCCTTCCATCGCCACATCTGACCGTCCTGTCTGATTGGTGGAGGCTGGAAGTTTAAACAATCGCTGGAGGAAAACCTGCAAACACACAAAACCTCTCAGTTACTGGATGGTTAGAAATATTTGCACATTATTAACAAAACCTACAGACATTTCCATGATGAATAAACGCTGCTGTCAAAGAAACAAAGGCTCTGAAGGTTTTTCGATGCACCATCGCCAGTTGAAGAACCTCTATGTTGTGGATGGTTCTGCTCATCTACTTTATGTGGTTCTTTAAAGGTTCTTCTCCTTTATTGGAGCTCTTGGTTTGGCTTCAGGTAACAGCATGAAATCAGAGCTGTGGTTCTTCATGGACAACCAGTGTCTCGCTGCATGAGGTGTCTGGAGCTCCACAGTGTGAAGATGAACCTCCTGATCACACTGTTACATAAGCACAGCTTCCCTCCAATCAGCCACAGATAATAAATCCTGACCTGATTCTGCCGTCTGAGCTGTTATTCCAGGAAATACATGTTGGACTTCATTACTGAGTTTAGCAAAGACGCTGAGCTATTCATGCAGTGAAAGATCGTTTCATCCTCTGGTTGGTTAAACATCAGACGAGCCTGAGGGGGAATCGAGCTGCATGAACGTTGAACGCTGAAGGTCTGACCATGTGCTTCATGTAAACGTGGAAACAATCAGAAAAATGTAAGAAGTTCTGACATTAAGCATGAAGAAGAGGAAACGCCTCTCAAGTCTGAGCCGAACGCCGCGTATTCTAACAAAATGTCCAAGTTTGTGACTCTCAGGTGGATTTTTTTGTCTTTGTGCGTGTTTAGATTAGAGCCTGAACATCTGAACAGCCCAATATTCATGGTTGTGGTATCTGGAAACATCCAGATATGTATCTGGCCGCCCTACGGTGGAAACACTGTTAACCTAAAATGCTGCCTGTGCGTTCTGACCACCTCCACCTGTCTCACTGCTCAATGTTCAGATATTTGTCATTAATGGGGCCCAGAAACTGGTACCGGGACCGGCCCTGGTTTATATTTTATTATTATCATCTGATGTAACGTTCAGGGAGAATCTAATGAACCAGCAAACCTGGATCAGGTTAGACATTAGAAACACAGCTGTCTTTTATTTTAGGTTAGTGTTTTTATAAAAATGTAAAAGATATGTAGGCTTGTTAAAAAACAGGATTTGTTTGTAGTTGTTTATTGTAATGTTTAAAAACGGGTAGAAAGGTAATAACTGTATTTTAATGATCATTTATTTCTGTTTCATCATTTTAACTCCCCATCTCCTGCTAACTGATTGACTCTCGGTGTTCTGTTTGCATTCAGGCTGTTTTAAACCTCCTGTGTTTTGTCAGTCGCTTGTGAAAGGATTTGATTTGTTTAAAAAGTTTAAATAAAGTTTGATTGATTGATATTCCAACATGTGTTGATGAATTTCCAATCAAGAAATTATTTGCAGGTTTGGTTTGTTTTTAGAAGGCTGCTCACAAGCACAGGCTTCCCACAGCCGGCCAATCAGAGCAGGAGGCTTGAAGGGGGCGGGGCCTTAAAGAGACGGCGCTGATATCAGCTGTTATAGCAGCTGCAGCGTGGCATAAACCCTGATGTTTCTGAACTATGAATCACTCAGAGCTGCTCCGAGTGAAAATATGAGGCTGAATGAGCGTCTTGTGTCCTTTAAACTACAAGTGTTTCAGAGCCGCTGATCTCAGAGCAGCAGCCAATGGAAAAGACAATCTGTCCAGCAGGACCAATAAAGTCTCGCAGTGCGTTTTCATGGAGAACGGTGGTTCAGCAAACAGAGCCTCCATCGGTATATTAGGTCACTTGGCGGCCGGAGGATCCCATTTAGCAGCTGATAAAAGCATTTGGACGGGCGGTGCAGCTCCGGGCGGCTGGAGGATCCTCACCTCATCTGGAGGTTGGCCGGCGGCAGGGAAACTGTGGCTGCTGGGACACGGCAGATGATCAGGATCAAAGCCGCTGGAAAAACCATCCAGGCAGAGCAGGAGAGCGAGGGGGCGGCGGCCATATTAATGCTCCACTTTATTGCTTTGTACTGTTAAAATTAAGAGGTCAGGTTTCATGACAGCAGCTCACTGAGCACGCTCCGCTGCGTCTGCCAGAGGTTTCGCTGACAGACGGCGGCGTTCGTTCAGGAGCCTCTGAACTGTCTGATCAGCCACACGCTAACAAATGTTCCTCACAGGCCAGCAGAGAACGTGACGGAGGCCCAGATGCACAACAACACGGAGCTGACGGTGGCCCTGGAACCTGCTCCAGAACCTCATCAGGTCCATGAGTGAAGATAAAACATCTCCTCTGCTGGTTTACATGAAACCTTTTCAGTTGCAGATGTGACTGTGACGGCTGACAACATAATGGGTTGATTTAAAACTAAATTCATGTTGAAGTGATTTAATGAACTTGGCCTGATAACTGCATCAAGGTTCCTCCTGGACCAGGACCTGGCTGGACCCTTCAGACAGGATAAGCTCGGTCCTCTCACTCAGGTGGTGGTAGCTTCATCAGAAGCCGTCAGAACACTGATGAACTGTTTGTTGTTGGTTGGATTGTTCCTTTAGATAGTTTGGATAGTTTGGATAGTGATGAGTGCTGCTGAACGGCTACTGACTGGTGGTGAAGACGTGTCTGTGACACAGTTGTCGTTTCAGACGTGTTCTTCCAGCAGATAGTGAAACCTGGTCCAAAAGACATCTGGTTTATATTTGGTTCAATAGTCTTATATTGATTGATTTTCTAGTGTTGTGTGGAAGCTCGTCATGGCTTCACCTTTTTAATTACTCTGAAAGAATTGAGTGTTTAAAAAACTGTAATTCCATTTTTTTCTTATTTTGCTGTAAATGTCCTCTAATATTTATGAGTTTCCGTGAACACTCTCGGCCCGCTTCATGTCTTCAGTGAGTGGTTCTGGTGTTCTCCAGGTACCTCGCTGTGTGTCTGCGCCGTGCAACTCTTTACAATTTTAATTAAAAGGACGTGAAGTGAGTCCCGTTGTTGGTGTTCGCAGTCGACCCGTCTGCTCTTCATCCTGCGCAGCTGGAAGATGATCCAGATTATCAGTCGGCTCTTTAATCCTGCGTTTCCTGAAGCCTCATTTCCTCGGAGTCGCTTCAGACAGTCGCTCAGGTATCGGATCAGTAAGTAGGTGTGAGGCGACGCTTCCCAGCCTGCTGATGGACGTCACACCTCGTCACCCCGGCTCCGCCCACAACGCTGCTTTTCCCATCAGCCTCCACGTCTTCATCCTCTGATCTGAGTTTATCAGCTCAGAGGGAAAGTCCAGGCTCGGAGGAGACGCCATGTTTCTGCTGCTTCTGACTGATTCATTCATCGGTTAGACGATCAGCTTTAAGGAGGAGACGTCGTTCTTCTAACTCAGATGATTCAACTTGTGGTTTTAAATACCAGAAAACTGTAAAAATAGAAAAGAATCGTTCTTCTTGACAGTAAATGTCTGTTTCCTGTGATTCACAGCCAGCAGGTTCGTCTGAGTCATTTCTCTAGAAAAAACATTGAACTTAAACATTTGGGTTTGAACAAAACAAGAAGGCTGAAGAGGTTCTGACCCACCGGTGAACATCAGAGAGCATGAACCCGGTCCATCACGGTGTTCTGGAGCCCAGACTGACATCAAACGTCTCGATTTGTCTGAACAACAGTTTAAAAACCCAAAACATCTGAATGAACTGAATGAATACCGGCAGGACAATGAACACATGAAACTCAGAATTCAGTTAAGAAGATAAATGTAGTCGGGTTTCACCTGTCGACCCGAAAAGGAAAAAGACTTTAACGTCGTCAGTTTGGGCTCCTGGTTCAGAAACCAACCGCTGACATCACCTGATCCTCCATCTGCTCCAGTCTTTGGTAAATCTGTCACTTTGGTTTGAATGATTTTTTTTTGTCGTTGTTGTTTTTTGCATCAACAGAAACTAAATATTTTCTAACCCGACAGAAGCTGCCCGTCCCGGCAGAACCAGAGTTCTAAGCTGAACCCTCTGACCAGCAGCAACGCGTCAGTTCACAACAGAGAGAGAACAAGTCTCATGAAGCGTTTGTGTTTGGAAGTGGGAGCTTCAGACACAGAAGTTGATGTAACAGCGAGTCATGGAGGCTTCAGACTCAACCATGGAGGTCCAGAAGCTCTTCATCGTAGGAACCAGTCTTCTTCAGCTCGTCTGCGTTTCTGTTTGAGCCTCCAGGTTCTAACTGGACGACGAACTGACCTCAGCTGCTTTAAAGACAGAATCTTTTGTTTCTGGCGACTCGGCTCATCAGCAAACCACCTGCAGGTGTTTTCAGAGGGAAAGACGCCGACAGCAGCTCATTAATCACCAGCAGCTAAACTTAGCTGACGTGACATCATCTCCACGCCGTTGGCTTCACGTGTGGCACCAGCAGCTGTCAGGAGTCAAGGCAGAGTTCTGCACATCTGACTGAAATATTTCATGTTCCTCTGATTTAATAAAGTGAAGCCATCCAGAGCATCTCTGTGCTGAGTGGACGTCCACGTCACCAGCAGCTCATCAGTCATCTCAGGATCATCAGCAGCTCCTGAGCCACAAACATGGACTCAGAGGAGCTGCTGGTGTTTGAGTCAAAGTTCTTCTGAGGCCTGAGAACCTCCCTCATGTCTTTATTTCCTGCAGCTCTGTGCTCAGCTCTGATTGGTTTTCCAGCTCCGGTCACACTCTCGGCTTCAGGACGTGACCTCCGACCCGCGGGCCTGCCACCACAGCCGGCAGGTTAAATACACAGCGATCGATCACTTCATCATCGGTACTGATGAACCTGAACCAGAGTCTCTGCTCCCAGTGAATCTAAAAGCTTCATTTATTTTGCAGAAGCTTCATCAGCAGCAGTCACAGAACATGGATGTGAACACAGCAGCAGCTCGTCCTCAGAGTTCATCATCAGCAGGCGGACGGACGTGAGAAGCACCAAACCCAGCAGCGACATCAGAACCGAGTCAAAGAGACGCAAACGAACAGAAAAGATGCAAACTGACACCAAAGAGACTTTGACGAGCTGTAACTGACCCTGTTTCTAGGGAGCATCTGAGGAGGTCCGTGGTTCAGGAGGTCGGGGCGGATGGACGGGTCGACAGACTGGACCTCAACACGAAGCTGCTGTTTGTTCCCAAAGCGTCCGAGGACGATGACAGACGACGGCGACACAGAGAGCTGGTTTAAACTCAGCTTCATGTGCTCCACAGTCAAACCTGGGATTTGCACATTTAAAGTGTTCACTGATGTAAAACGTGGACGTTCACGGTTTGTCTGATACGTGAAGGAACGTTTTGCTGTCAGCGGCCAGAGAATAGAACCAGGCTTCCTTCAGAACATGCTGCCGTTTAGAACCTGCTGTCGGGTCGTGTCTGGGGACTGGATCTCTGACTGTTTGGCTGAACACGTCCCAGCTGGAGGTTCCCCTTCGTGTGGCAGCAGAACTGCAGCAGAGCGTAAACATGATTCAAACAAGGAGTTATTCTGCAGCAGCGAGCAGATTGGTTTACACCTGAACCTCCACATGTGGCTCCTCTGCTGCTTCCACCTATTGGCTCTGATTACTGTAATTGGCTGAGAGGCCCAGCAGAACCAGCAGCACCAGTAAAAGCACCTCTACTAAAGCCATTAACCCCGTCGTAACGAGGGGCTAAAGTGGCTTCAATTAGCTGCTCCAGGAACAGCCGAGCGACTCCAACCTGCATGTAGAAGGAAATAAAAGTGGAGAGGACGAAGCACAAAGGAGCGACTGTGACGGCCGCCGGCCAACCAAAACACTCTGCTGCAAATCAGAACCAGGTGGACCGAAGCACAAAGAGCCGCAATCAGCAGGAGGTTCCACATCCTGTCCGCTGATTGGACGAGGGGGGGGTGCCGGGAGCAAAGGCGGCCAATCGGCTCGCGGGTGGAGCCGCAGTGACAAACACTGGAGCTCCAACTGGAACCTTTTAATTGGAAAAATTAGGACCTTAATGAAAAATGTTGAGGTTCTTTTATAAGTCAACATGTGGGACTCTCCCGTTGGATTAGAAACACGCTGGGTTGTTCTGGTACCAGTGATACCAACATGGAGTCCAGCATGATAAACGTGGGTCCAAACCTGAAGGTGTCGTGTCCATGCTAGACTCACTGAGTCCATCTGTCAGGGTGTCAACATCTCTGGTGGCTTCAGACCTTCACCTTCGTGCCCTCATCAGTAACTCAGTAACTAATAACCACAGAGCTCGCGGTTCGTTTTACCTCCACATACACCATCACACTCCTACATCTGATATCTATGCACTCATTTAATAGTAAAATCTAACTGCTATCTGCTCGTCTGCATCTCCTCCAACAAAGCATCCATTCATTTACCCTCAGAGGGCAGCATTAAAAAGACATTTCTGCTTTTTATTTAGTTTGTTTTTATTTTATGTTTAATGTTGTGTGTCCTCACAACTGTAGATAAAATCAGTTGTTTATGCAAAATATGTTCTTCAGTTTGAGCAATTATCTCCAAACTGAACCCCACACCCCAAACCCAAGACCCAAACCCAAGACCCCAAACCCAA